TATAATACTATATTATATGAGTTTACATTGAACATGCTACCCCTCTATTCTGCCGCACCTGGAATACTGTGTCCAGTTCTGGGCACTGCGATACAAGGGAGATGTTGACAAGCTGAAATGTGTCCAGAGGAGGGTGACTATAATGATCAAGGGTCTGGAGAACAAGCCCTATGAGGAGCTGCTTAAAGAGCTGGGCATGTTTAGCCTGCAGAAGAGAAGGCTGAGAAGAGACATGATGAGGGCCGTGGATAAATATGTGAAGGAAGTCACAGGGAGGAGGGAGCGAACTTGTTTACTGCTGCCCTGGAGACTAGGACGCAGAACAATGGCTTCAAACTACAAGAAAGGAGATTCCATCTAAATATGAGGAAGAACTTCCTGACTGTGAGAGCTGTTCAGCGGTGGAACTCTCTGCCCTGGAGTGTGGTGGAGGCTCCTTCTTTGGAGGCTTTTAAACAGAGGATGGATGGCCATTTGTTGGGGGTGTTTTGAATGTGATTTTCTTGCTTCTTGGCAGGGGGTTGGACTGGTTTCTTCCAACCCTATGATTCTACATAATGCAGTTTTTCAAACTGCATTTATATGGGTAGTGCAGATGTGGTCTGAGGGCCCTTCCACACAGCCCTATATCCCAGAATGTCAAGACAGAAAATCCCACATTATCTGAGTGTGGACTCAGATAACCCAGTTTAAAGCAGATGTGGAACTTTCCACCTTGATATTCTGGGATATAGGGCTGTGTGGAAGGGCCCTGAGTTGTAATGCAGGGTTTTTGTTTTTTTTTAGCAGTCAGTGCACTAAAATAAGTGATCACTAGATGTCCTCCTAACCTTATGAATTTGAGGACATCTAGGCACAAATCCTTCATGTGTGACTGTTATCCATTCATCTTAGGCCCCTTTTGCACTATCAGATAATCCAGGTTATGGAAGCAGAAAATCCACATTATCTGATTATCTTACTACACTGCCATATAATCCAGTTTAAAGCAGGTAGTCTGGATTTTATATAGCTGTGTAGAAGGGACCTTAAAGACAGATTAAATATATTCAGAATTCCCAAATACTTCGCGGTTACCCACAGGGGTGGCTGAGGTCCTGTCTACATGGCCCTATAATGCGGTTTCAAACCACATACACAAAATAAGTTAAATTTCATTATATGAGTCTATAGCAGTGATGTGCAAACTTGTTGGCCCATGCTTTCTTCACATGATACATAAGGATAGCAGGCTTATTAATTTACGAGTGTTGAATGAAAAGTAACGCCTCCACCTTCGTTACGTGGGTTTGGGTAGGAATAGTTTAATAAATCAAATGCAGGAATAATCTTTAGAATGTGCTCTTTAACTACCACGATTCACTTTCCCACATAATCACCAGACAATTGGATACATTTCTGCCAACGATGAACAAGTTTTCTGAAGCCGTCATGAAAGAAGTCAATACTCTGTTTCCGCAACTAGAGTCTCACAGTTCTCTCAATATACCCATCATGCACAGATCTTCTGTTAGCCAATCAAGGCAATAATGTAACTCACATGTTCTTGTGAAATGCCAATTATTCTTGAAATTTCTCTCTGATACGACGATCGTCCTGAATCAATCTGTCAACTTTTTGCTTGTGAAACTCGGTGGTTGCTGTCACAGAACGTCCAACTCTTTGTGTCTCACAGTTCTCTCAAAATACCCATCGTGCACAGATCTTCCGATAGCCAAGCAAAGCAATAATGTGACCCATACGTTCTTGTGAAATGCTGATGATGCTTGAAATTTCTCTCTGCGTGATACAACGATCGCCCTGAATCAATCTGTCAACCTTTTGCTTGTGAAACTCGGTGGTTGCTGTCACAGGACGTCCAACTCTTTGTTTGTCACGCAAGCCAGATGTTCCCACCTCAACGTCTTTAAACTTACTCGCACAGTACTCACATCAACACAATCACGATAAACAGCTTGCATTCTCTGATGAAACCCCCCCCCCCCCCCAGTTTAAACAGCTCCACTGGCTTCAAATAAGTTTCTGGTCCCAATTCAAGGTGCAAGTGTTCACCTATAAAGCCGTAAACAGTTTGGGACCTGCTTATCTCCGCAACTGCATCTTCCCCTATGAACCAGTTCATACCTTGAGATCTGCTCTCTCTCCCTCCGCTGTCTCAAGCAGGGTTGGTGGGGGACAAGGCCTTCTTGGTGGTGCCCCCCCCCCCCCCCGGCTCTGGAAATCCCTCCCTAGGGAGATCAGATAGGCTCCCACTTTGTCCTCTTTCCAGAGACAACTAACAACCCTGATGTTCTGGTTAATTAAGCAGTCCACCAGTAATTTTCCTATCCCTACTTTAAGTTCAGCACTTTACGTCAGCCCTCTTATTGTTTACCTCAACACTTTTGATGACAGTATTTCCAGCCCTGCCTACTTGATTGTTGCACTTTCCTTGCGCTCCATTCAGAATGTATTGAGCTCAGTGAGCCTGTACCTCAGTTATGTTCTTTTTCTCAGCCACAGTGCTTTGATGTTGTTTACAATTGTGATTGTTTTTATATGTTATCTGATGTTTTTAATCGGTTGTGTTTTATTTGTAATTTTCGGGCTCGTCCCTTATATGCCACCCTGTGTCCCTTTGGGGAGATGGTTGGCGGGGTATAAAAATAAAATTATTATTATTATTATTATTATTATTATTATTATTATTAGAAACACCACAAGATGAGTCCACAGCAGACAAGATCACTCTGCTGGCTGTTGTAGTGGATCACACGTCGAACACTTCCCAAGTGTCTAGGACTATGTGATGTACCGACGAATAATGCATGCAGATCCCAGTAAGGTGGCCTTTTGCAGCTGGCAGATGGTAATCTTGTCAGCGGCAATTGTGTTTAAGTGCAGGCCAAGGTCTTTAGACACTGTACCCAGTGTGCCGATCACCACTGGGACCACCTTTACTGGTTTGTGCCAGAGTCTTTGCAGTTCGATCTTTAAATCCTCATATCATGTCAGCTTTTCCAGTTGTTTCTCTGCAATCCTGCTGTTACCTGGGATTGCGACATCGATGATCCATACTTTGTTTTTTAACACGATTGTGAGGTCAGGAATATTGTGCTCCAAAACTCTGTCTGGTTGAATCCTGAAGTCCCAGAGTCGTTTGACATGTTCATTCTCTGTAACTTTTTCCGGCTTGTGATCCCACCAGTTCTTTGTCGCAGGCAGATGGTATTTGTGGCACAAGTTCCAATGAATCAGCTGAGCAACGGTGTTATGCCTCTGCTTGTCTGTCTGCGCGATCTTCTTGCAGCAGCTGAGGATGTGATTTATTGTTTCATCTGCTTCCTTGCAGAGCCTACACTTGGGATCTGTCGTTGACTTTTCAATTCCGGCTTTGATGGCTTCAATTACTATTATTATTATTATTATTATTATTATTATTATTATTATTATTTGGGGTGACACCTTCTGCTGTCAAGAATTCAATGACTGCACATTGCTTAAGTCGCATTGACCGACCGTCTGCGCAGGGTTCCATACTTCGCACTTTCACAACACAACGATTCAATGCTAAGGCTTCCCACCAAAATGGAACTGTAGAGGAGAGTCTACTGAACAAGCCAGTACCTGCCGAAGACCAGGACTGCCATCTGTTGAGGAGTTACGAAGATGGAGGCATTACCTTTCATTCCGCCCTCGTATTATTTACCTTAAAATACCTGCCTTCCTGTGAGTGTACCTCACAATGAATGGTTCTGGAATATAGAACTGGCTACCTTGGCAATGGAGAGGCCTTTTAGATGAAGCTGGCCAGCCTCTCCTTCAGGCTGGGACGCATAAAGCCATATTATTATTATTGTATTATGATTTCTGCCTTGGCTTTCAATGAGGAGGAACTGTATCTACAATAGACACGAGGTAAAAGGGCCGCCACACTAACTTAGTTAAGTATTTACACCAGGCCTGGGCAAGCTTGGGTCCTCCAGGTGTTTTGGACTCCAACTACCACAATTCCTAACAGCCTACCGGCTGTTAGGAATTGTGGGAGTTGGAGTCCAAAACACCTGGAGGACCCAAGCTTGCCCAGGCCTGGTCTACACTGTAGAATTAATGCAGTTCGACACCACTTTAACTACAGTGGGTCAATGCTATGAAATCCTGGAGGTTGTAGTTTTACAAAAGCCACCTGTGGCAGTGCTGTCCCCTTACCAAACTACAAATCCCAAAATTCCATAGCAAAGTGGTAGTTAAAGTGGCGTCGAACTGCATTAAATCTAGATGCACCTTGTTTCAGATGTAGATTTGTGTTTGTCTAAAGCAGGAGGGAAGAACCATTGCTGAGTTGTTTTAGGTTTTTTCGGGCTATATGGCCATGTTCTAGAGGCATTCTCTCCTGACGTTTCGCCTGCATCTATGGCAAGCATCCTCAGAGGTAGTGAGGTCTGTTGGAATTAGGAAAAGGGGTTTATATATCTGTGGAATGACCAGGGTGGGACAAAGGACTCTTGTCTGCTGGAGCTAGGTGTGAATGTTTCAACTGACCACCTTGATTAACATATAATGGCTTGGAAGTGCCTGGGGGAATCTTTTGTTGAGAGGTGATTTGATGTGCCTGATTGTTTCCCCTCTGTTGTTTTGCTGTTGTAATTTTAGAGGTTTTTTTTTAAAATACTGGTAACCAGATTTTGTTTATTTTCATAATACTGGTAGACAGATTTTGTTCATTTTCAGAGTCATGGGAATTGTAGCATAAACACTGTTAACACATTCGGGGTGACCAATGCAGAAGAAAAAAAAATTCCACAAAACAGTGATAACTTTATGCAGTTAGAGGTATGGAAAAGGTGTAGTAAAAATGTAAAGAAAAGGCTTTGTAAAAGGGAAAAAACTAGTCTTCCTGGGTTTGGACTTCAACTCCCAGAAGCCTCAGTGAGAGCGAGCAATTGAGAGGCATTCTGGGAGTTGAAGTCCAAAACACTGGAGGGACAAAGGTTTTGGATCCAAAGAGAGCGCCAGGAAGCGTCAACACTTCCGGTTCCCACGCGAACAAATGCGGGGAAATTAATGGGGAAAGAATAGGACAGAGCACCATAGAGATTTCGAAGCTGGGAGCGGCTTTCAAGTGAGAACCGGAAGAGGACAGTACATTGAAGGTGTGTATGTTTTCAGTGCTGTGTTTGCTGCAATTGGATACTGTAGGTCTTAAACCTCAATGGTGGCAATCCATTTGAGAGTTGGGGTTATTATTATTATTATTATTTTATTATTGTGGGAAACTTTCAGTGCAGCTGGTAAGCAGGATTAAATATTTCTGCAGTGTGGCATGCTTCCCTTTCTCCTAAATTAAGCCAAACTGTTTACTTAATTGTTTTAAAAATGCTTTTCTCCTGTTGGTCTTTAAGACAGGAAGGCATGGATGCAGTTTGGCATCAGGTTAACTTCCCAAACTCAATGCTATGGAATCATGGGAGTTGTAGTTTTAAAGCTTTCTCTGCCAAAAGACTACAGTTCCCATGATCCCATAGAATAGTTTTGTTTGTTTGTTTTGTTGTGTCAGGAGTGACTTGAGAAACTGCAAGTCGCTTCTGGTGTGAGAGAATTGGCCGTCTGCAAGGACGTTGCCCAGGGGACGCCCGGATGATTTTGATGTGAGAAGTAATTATGACAATAGTAGTTGCAAAAGGCAGTAATCCAAAGTAACAATTTCTGCTCAGTTCTACAAATTTATTTATTTATTTACAGTATTTAAATCCCGCCCTTCTCACCCCGCAGGGGACTCAGAGCGGATTACAAACATTCAATGCCATAGACACACAACATATATAGACAGATACACAGAGGCTATTTAACATTTCAGCATTTTCATGAGGGTATTTTGGCCACCAGGGGAGCTGTTGCTTCACCGTCCATTTGTGACACTGATGAATCATAGAATCATAGAGTTGGAAGAGACCTCATGGGCCATCCAGTCCAACCCCCTGCCAAGAAGCAGGAATATTGCATTTAAATCACCCCTGACAGATGGCCATCCAGCCTCTGTTTAAAAGCTTCCAAAGAAGGCTTCCAAAGAAGGTTTAAAAGCTTCCAAAGAAAGAGCCTCCACCACACTCCGGGGCAGAGAGTTCCACTGCTGAACGGCTCTCACAGTCAGGAAGTTCTTCCTCGTGTTCAGATGGAATCTCTTGTAGTTTGAAGCCATTGTTCCGCGTCCTAGTCTCCAAGGAAGCAGAAAACAAGCTTGCTCCCTCCTCCCTGTGGCTTCCTCTCACATATTTATACATGGCTATCATATCTCCTCTCAGCCTTCTCTTCTTCAGGCTAAACATGGCCAGCTCCTTAAGCCACTTAAGTACTTCCTCATTCTTTGCATGCTTGCTGGAGATTTTTATGGCCTCATACATTGGATAAATTAGCCTCCCCGCATAAATTAGCATAGATTTTTATGGCCTCGTAAATTAGTTAAATTAGCCTCCAGCTGTCTTTGGAGCTGCAAAGGTCGACAGCAAGCTACACAAATTGGTCGGAAGCTCACTCCGACCTGGGCGGGCTTCGAACTCATGACCTTTCAGTCACTAGTGGTCTTAATGCAGCTGACTGTCAGCCAGCTGCACCAGAGTCCCAGAGCTGTACCCTTTTCTAACCTTATGAAAGATGCCTGTACCCTTTTCTAACCTTATAAACGGCCAAGTAAAGGATAGCCTTTCTAATTAAACATGTATATACTTTTTCATGCTCACTATCTCATTTGTGGCTACATGAAAACCACGCATAGTTCACCTTTTTTAACCAGTCCACACACTGTCTTGTGAGAAAAAAAGATGTGCCATGAAGATGATCAATAAAGAACAGTTTGCTCTTTGAAATGCAGAGAAACATATATACAGTCATGTGAACAATTGCATTGACTTACACATTGTCCTCTGAGAGAGATTCAAATAGTCCTTAGGTATCCTTGTGGGAGACCTTCTTCCAGCAGCCCAGAAGCTTACCTGTCTCTGTAAGCTCCTGCACAGCAACCAGCCTAAAATGTAACAGTTGCCAAAATTCCCAGGCTCAGCTAGCCTCTTGGGCATAGCCCAAGCAATTAGCTTCATTCTCTGCATTTTCAGTTAACACACTCCCCAAATGATTCTTTACATGATCTAACATTTACAATCAAAGGACTTGATAGGGCTTATAGCTTAGACTGCAGGCATGGGCCAACTTCGGCCCTCCGGTTGTTTTGGACATCAACTCCCACAATTTTGATGTCCAAAACACCCGGAGGGCTGAAGTTCACCCATGTATGCCTTAGAGGAGCATGTGAGAAGTTTGTCCCAATTCTATCGTTGATGGGGTTCAGAATGCTCTTTGATTGTAGGTGAACTATAAATCGCAGCAACTACAACTCCTAAATGTCAAGGTCTATTTCCTCCAAACTCCACCAGTGTTCACATTTGGGCATACTGAGAATTTGTGCCAAGTTCGGTCCAGATCCATCATTATTTGAGTCCACAGTGCTCTCTGGATGTAGGTGAACTACAACTCTAAAACTCAAGGTTAATGCCTACCAAACTCTTCCAGTATTTTCTGTTGGTCATGGGAGTTCTCTGTGCCAAGTTTGGTTCTATTCTATCATTTGTGGGGTTCCAAATGCTCTTTGATTGTAGGTGAACTATAAATCCCAGCAACTACAACTCACAAATGACAAAATCAAGCCCCCTCCAACCCACCAGTGTTTGGGTGTATCAGGTATTTGTGCCAAATTTGATCCAGTGAATGAGAATACCTTCTGCACATCAGATATTTTCATTACGATTCATAACAGTAGCAAAATTACAGTTATGAAGTAGCTACGAAAATAATTTTATGGTTGGGGGTCAAGACAACATGCGGAACTGTATTAAAGGGTTATGGCATTAGGAAGGTTGAGAAACACTGGCTTAGAGGTTGTTTTATTTCCAATCTTGACACTTTCTGCTCCAGGCAAGGATTCCTGATGATCTGAAGCTGAGGAGTTTGCCAAGTCAGGCATCCTGATGATTTTTATAGGAAGGAGGCACCTGCTGCAGTTATGCGAGAGGAACGTCTTCAGGAAAGGCTTGAAGCAGAAGAACCCAAGCAGAGGTTTACTTTGGAGGTGCTGCCATCATGGAGCTTCAAGTCAACTCCTGCCTCCGGAGATGAGAGCCTTTCTGGAGGACAACACTGAAGTTATCAATGGTGGGAACCTGACGCCGGAAATAAGTTTGCGACTGATGACATCTCGCTGCCACTTTTGGCATGAAAAAGCTGCCTTGTGGCCCTATGGAGAGCCCTACTGGGCCTTCTACTGGCCAGGAGGCCAAGGACTAGCCAGGTACTCTTCCCAAATGTTAATGTGTTGCAGCAGAAGTGACAAACATTCACCTGACACCTTAAAAGACACATTTATTAGGTGGGGGCAATATAAGTGAGACAGCTGAGGCCCCATTCTGGGAGATATAGGCATATAAAAATACCCACAATAAAATTGAGAGTGCAATTTATAATTATGTAAAGTAGCCCGCTAAGTGCCAAGTGAATAATGCATTTTGAAATGTATACATTTATGTATGCTTAGAAATACATGCACTTCCTATAGTTGTACTGTATTGAAGTAGTTTTTACAATGTTCATCTACATAAATAAAAATGTAATGTTTGTTTGTGGGATTAAGAGAACTCAAAAACCACTGGGAAAATTGACACCAAATTTGGACACAAGACACCTAACAACCCAATGTATGTCCTTCACTTAAAAAAAATGAATTTCTCATTTGGGAGTTGTAGTTGCTGGGATTTATAGTATACCTATAATCAAACAGCATTTTGAACTCCACCAATGATGGAATTGAACCAATCTTGGGACGCAGGACTCCCATGACCAACAGAAAATACTAAAAGGGTTTGGTGGGCATTGACCTTGAGTTTGGGAGTTGTAGTTCACCTACATCCAGAGGGCACTTTGGACTCAAACAATGATTGATCTGGACCAAACTTGGCACAAATCCTCAATTTGCCCAAATGTGAATACTGGTGGAGTTTGGGGGAAATAGACCCTGACATTTGGGAGTTATAGTTTCTGGGATTTATAGTTCACCTACAATCAAGGAGCATGCTGAACCCCACCAATGACAGAATTGGGGCAAACTTCCCACACAGAACCACCATACTTAAGGCCATCCAGTCCAACTCCCTTCACCAGGGCAAGAAAACATAATCAAAGCCCTCCTGACGAAGAGCCATCCAGCCATGGATATAGATAGATAGATAGATAGATACAATTCACACACAGAGATATAGTATCATAGATTTGGAAGGGACCCCTAATGCAGGAGAATTATATGTTGCATGTTCCAGATTAGGCAAATCAGACAATCTCCACATCAACACTGACATAGAAACAACAAGGAATACTGCTTACCCACAAGCATAAAGGAATTACATATATTAGAAACCATTACTTTATTTTCCAGATCACCAGACTGGGCCACAGCAACGCGTGGCAGGGGATGGCTAGTTTAAGTATAAATCTGTTGTCTCACTGTTATTTTTCTACTCTGCCTCCTTTTTTTTTAATGTCAACCAAGGCAACTTTTTTCCTGTCATTTACCACGTATCTAAAAGCAATTGGTTTACTTCCCAAATTGGGACACGCTTCAAATGGGTCAACATATCTATTGATGGTTGTACTGTCCCCTGGTGGCACAGCGGGTTAAACCGCTGAGCTGCTGAACTTGCTGACCAAAAGGTTGGCGGTTTGAATTTGGGGAGCGGGGTTGTTGCAGCAGACAGCAGCCTGTCCGTTGGGACGCAAATGGGGTGGAAGAACGACACCATGCTAGAGCAGAGCTCCAAGTTCAAAACCTTTTACTTTTCCACGGAAAAGGGTCGGAAACCTCAGCTTGCAGCTGAATCAAGGGGTTTCTACACACCTTGATTTAAACAGAGCACATATCTATATACAATTGCTTATATAACTTGGTGACATTAGTTAATTATTAATACATAGGAAAACATCTTAATCATCTGGAAAATCAGCGTGTTCAGGTCATATCTCCTGTGACCTTGTGCTGGTCAGCAGATCTGACGTATACAAACAGGACCAAAAGGGAAAAATCAATATATACTTTTCTGTTGACTTTTGTACCAAAAGGGAAAAATCAATATATTTATTTTTAACTGCCCCCACAGGATGAGCTCCCACTGTTAGGCCCAGCTTCTGCCAACCTAGCAGTTCAAAATCATGCAAATGTGAGTAGATCAATAGGTACTGCCTTGGTGAGAAGGTAATGACACTCCCTTCAGTCATACTAGCCACTTGACCTTGGAGGTGTCTCCGGACAATGCCGGCTCTTCAGCTTAGAAATGGAGATGAGCACCACCTCCCAGAGTCGGACACAACTAGACTTAATGTCAGGGGAAACCTTTTTTATTTTTTGATGGTTATACTGATTTATTATTATTAAAGTCTCAAGTCATTAAACTCAGACTATGGTTTCCTGAGAGGCAGCTTCAAAGGCCATTTTCCATCTGTTGAATTTGTACTTGTCAGTGTAGTTTCTCAAAGTGCCGAGATTTATCTTGGAAAAGCAAGCATGGGTGAACAATGATTAACTCAGTGAATGAAGTATAAATGTTTACCATGTAGTCCTAGCCATCTGGGATGAAGGATGGTTTTTTGTCAGAATCCAGGACTCCGCCAATATGCAGGCAGCAACACCTGGCTTCTGTCAAAACTATTATACTTGCTTATTTATTTATTTATTTACTGCATTTCTATGCCACCCTTCTCACCCCAAAAGGGACTCAGAGCAGCTTACAAGATACACACACACACACACATACACACACAATATATTATATTATTAGCATAGCACAATATCAGTATTATATATTACTATATTGTACTATACCATTGAAGGGAACCCCTTTATTTTGACACCCTGAGGCAGGCAACAGAAGCAAGCAGTCTCCTTAGGTCAGTGTTTCTCAACCTGGGGGTCGGGACCCCTGAGGGGGTCGCGAAGGGGTGTCAGAGGAGTCGCCAAAGACCATCAGAAAACACAGTATTTTCTGATGGTCATGGGGATTCCATGTGGGAAGTTTGAGCCAATTCTATCATTGGTGAAGTTCAGAATGTCCTTTGATTGTAATGAACTATAAATCCCAGCAACTACAACTCCCAAAAGTCAAGGTCTATTATCCCCAGGCTCCACCAGTGTTCACATTTGCGCATATTGAGTATTTATGTCAAGTTTGGTCCAGATCCACCATTGCGTGAGTCCACAGTGCTCTCTGGATATAGGTGAACTATAATTCCCCAACTCAAAGTCAATACCCACCAAACCCTTCCAGTGTTTTCCGTTGGTCATGGGAGTTCTGTATGGCAAATTAGGTTCAAATCCATAACTGGTGGAGTTCAGAATGCTCTTTGATTATAGGTGAACTATAAATCCCAGGAACTGCAACTCCCAAATTACAAAATCAATCCTCCCCCAACCCCACTAGCATTTACATGTGGGTGCATTGGGTATTTGTGCCCAGTTTGGTCCAGTGAATGAAAATACATCTTGCATATCTGATATTTACATTATGATTTATAACAGTAGTAAAATGACTGTTATGAAGTAGCAACAAAAACAATGTTATGGTTGGGGGTCACCACAACATGAGGGACTGTATTAAGGGGACACGGCATTAGGAAGGTTGAGAACCACTGCCTTAGGTGAAGCAAAAATCTTTTTTTCAGCGTGGCCACGCAGGGACAGCCGAAGACCAGTGTGTGTCTTCAAGAAAAGGCTGACCGTGCTGTTAGAATTTTCCAGTTCCCTTATATACATTCTTTTTGCTGTGTCATGGGGCACATACATCTTATCAAATCAACTTTTCAAAAACATACTTTTCTCATGTTTTGGCATTTTGGTGCCTCTAACTGATAAGCTCTACATACTACGCAAGCATAGACAGACACACACATTATTGTTCTAGATAAGCATTTAGGTGTCAGGACGTCCTGGGCGTACTTGACAATCGGAACATCCTGTGTCTTCAAGATACATAATCTCCCCTTGGCCTTCAGTCTTCTGTCCTTCAGCCAAGAGGGGCACCTCTCTTTAGGTTTGCATTTCAGCATTTTAACATTTTTGCACTCTAATGAGCTCTTTAACCCTTTCACCATTATATTGTAATATTATTAGTAATATTACATGTAATATATATAATTATAATATTGTATTATTATTAGTTTTATATTGTATTACATTATAATATTATGTGTATATTATATTATATTATATTATATTACTAGCTGTCCCCTGCCACACGTTGCTGTGGCCCAGTATGGTGATCAGGAAAATAAAGTAATGAGAAAGTGATGGTTTCTAATATATGTAATTTCTTTATGCTTGTGGGTAAACAGTACTTCTTGTTGTTTCTTTGTCAGTGTTGATGTGGAGAGTGTCTGGTTTGCCTACTCTGGATCATGGAACATATTATTGTCCTTCTTTAGGGGTCTCTTTCAAATACTATATCTCTGTGTGTGAATCATATCTATCTATCTATCTATCTATCTATCTATCTATCTATCTATCTATCTATCTATCTATCTATCTATCTTTGTGACTGGGTGGCTCTTTGTCAGGTGGGCTCTAATTACATTTTCTTGCCCTAATGAAGAGAGTTGGACTGGATGGCCTTAAGTATTTTCTGTTGGTCATGGGGGTTCTGTATGGGAAATTTACCCCAATTCTGTCATTTGTGGGATTCAGAATGCTCTTAATTGTAGGTGAACTATAAATCCCAGTAACTACAAATCCCAAATGCCACGGTTTATTTTACGCAAACTCCATCTGTGTTCATATTTGGGCATATGGAATATTTGTGCCAAGTTTGGTCCTGATCCATCATTGTTTGAGTCCTCAGTGCTCTGGATGTAGGTGAACTACAATTCCCAAACTCATGGCCAATGCCCACCAAACCCTTCTAGTGTTTTCTGTTGGTCATGGGAGTCCTGTGTGCCACGTTTGCTTCACTGCCATTTTTGGTGGAGCTCAGAATGCTCTTTGATTGTAGGTGAACTATAAATCCCAGCAACTACAACTCCCAAATGACAAAATTAAAAAATGAGTGAAGGACATACATTGGGTTGTTAGGTGTATGCCGTCCAAATTTGGTGTCAATTGACCCACTGGTTTTTGAATTCTGTTAATCCCGCAAACGAACATTACATTTTTATTAATATAGATATAGTAACTTTAACACTTGGGCAAGATCTTGGGGCTCTATAACAACAACAACAAAAAGCCTTGAGTACTTATGTACAGATTCCCACAACTTTGTTGTGATGGAGATATCCTTGATTCTTACCAGTGTTAATGAATTCTTCTGCCAGGGCACCAATAAGATCAGTGGGTTCTTAGTATTTAGTGGGAGAGCTTCCCGAACTCCAAGTCATTCCATCCTTAGTGATAATGAGTAAATAAAGTATTTTCCTGCTTCTTGACAGTGGGTTGGACTGGATGGTCCACGAGATCTCTTCCAACTCTATGACTCTATGATTCGAAACCCAAGAACCTACAAGGAGGCTCTTTGGGGGATGAGGCACTCAGTTGTCCCTATACACTTTGGATTTAATTTTTCACAGGTATGATTTTAAATGTTTTCTCTAGGAATCTTTAGTTATTTCAGCGAAAGTCTGTGGTCAACTTCTTCCAGACTTGCAGAGGGACTTGGAAATGAGAGAGAATATCTATTTTAGGAATCTTCTGTGCAATTTAACCATAGAGTCCTTTTGGAAGACCTTGAACTTTCTAGCAAAGTGTTCACTCAGGTTAAAAAACTAGACCTCACAACCTCTGAGAATGCCTGCCATAGATGCAGGCAAAACGTCAGGAGAGAATGCCTCTGGAACATAGCCATAGAGGCCGAAAAACGTACAGCAACCCAGTGATTCCGGTCCTGAAAGCCTTCGACAATACATTAAAAAATATCAGTTTCTTTATGGTTTTTTACTTTCTTAAGGACCCTATGTTTCTAATTCCAGCAAATGTGGAGGACTGACTATAACTGCTATTTTATCTCTTTGATATACTGTGATGTTCTGGTGAATTTGCTGATGCAACAGACTTTGTCATGAATTTTATTTTTACTTTTCTTATTTTTCAAAATACACTCAGATACCTTCTTGATAATCCCAAGATTGTTAGAAGAAAGAAGGTTCTAGATCTGGGCAGTGGCTGTGGAGCGACTGCCATAGCGGCCATGATGAGTGGAGCATCGCAGGTTGTGGCCAATGACATTGATCCTGGTAAGAGAGTCCCTTCTCAGTGCAAAGCGGTTTCAGTCACTTGGGAGGAAGGATGTCCATGTGAGACCATACAATGATTTAAGAACCTGTTGTGAAAGATTCTTGCTTAGTGTAAGGTTCCCTGAAAGTATGGTAGCTATTCATGGTCAGGGAGTGGGGTGAGCTCCCGCTGTTAGGCCCAGCTTCTGCCAATCTAGCAGTTTGAAAACATGCAAATGTGAGTAGGTCAATAGGTACCACTTTTGTGGCAAGGTAATGGCGCTCTGCGTAGTCATGCTGGCCACATGACCTTGGAGGTGTCTACAGACAACGCTGGCTCTTTGACTTAGAAATGGAGAAGAGCACTACCCCTCAGAGTAGGACATGACTAGATTTATTGTCAGGGGAAACCTTTACCTATTATTTTCTATCCAAAACTTTTAAAAATGGCTGGAGTTACATTTTTAAAATGTACCTGCTCTAACTTACATAATAATTCAACTAAAGAACAAATTTGCAGAACTATCTCATTTGGAACCCGGGGATTGCCTGTATAAGGTTTTGCCACCATGACTTTAAGAGCATCAGAGTTGTGTGTCTCTGGCTTTGACAGTTCCCAAAATGCACTTTTCATTATCTAATAAGGCTGTAGTAGTGCAGTGTAGTAGTTTGAGATCTGGATTCCATTGTCTGCTTAGTCATGGAAAGCCACTTGGGCGTCCTCCGAGGGTGTTTAGTACCAAAGTCCTTATGAACAAATCTTTCCCAAAAAAACAACAACCAAAACCCATGATAGAGTCACTTTAGGGTTGCCATAAGTTGGAAATGAAGGCAACAACAACAAATTTGTCCCTGTTCTATGGGTCTTTACATATGTCCTAACTTGGTTAACATGTTTACCTCCCAGCCAGCAGAGCTGGACATTTGTGTACCTTGGCTGGCCTTCCAAATGAGTTTGTTATGCCAGGTAAGGAGTCGTGCCATATAAATACTTACTGTTGACACCAGGTCAAGCTGACTTGTGTTTAATTGAGGCAACTCCGGTGGTCTCCTAGATGCCTGTAATGATGAGATTTCCCAAAGCTTTGTTCAGGCAGCCCTAACTGGGAAGTTTCTGCCACAATATTCTTGGGCCATAAACGTTATCAAAGAGTATAGTATCTGGGTTGTAGGTTTTTTTCGGGCTATATGGCCATGTTCTAGAGGCATTTTCTCCTGACGTTTCATCTGCATCTATGGCAAGCATCCTCAGAGGTAGTGAGGTCTATTGGGACTAGGAAAGTGGGTTTATATATCTGTGGAATGACATGACCAGGGTGAGGCAAAGAACTCTTGTCTGCTGAAGCTAGGTGTGAATGTTTCAACTGACCACCTTGATTAGCATTTGATGGCCTGGCAGTAAATGGAGAAATCTTTTGTTGAGAGGTGATTAGATGTGCCTGATTGTTTCCCCTCTGTTGTTTTGCTGTTGTAATTTTAGAGTTTTTTAATACTGGTAGCCAGATTTTGTTCATTTTCATGGTTTCCTCCTTTCTGTTGAAATTGTCCACATGCTTGTGGATTTCAATGGCTTCTCTGTGTAGTCTGACATTGTGGTTGTGAGAGTGGTCCACCATTTCTGTGTTCTCAAATATGCTGTGTCCAGGTTGGTTCATCAGGTGCTCTGCTATGGCTGACTTCTCTGGTTGAAGTAGTCTGCAATGCCTTTCATGTTCCTGGATTCGTGTTTGGGCGCTGCGTTTGGTGGTCCCTATGTAGATTTGTATAGTATCTTCCATATTGAAGTAAGAAGCTAGGCACCAGTTTATATCCCTTTCAGCAACTTTGTCCATTAGATGGAGAATATATGCTCCTCCAGGTGGTGCTGAACTGCAATCCCCATGATCCATTACCGTTGGCTAGCCTGAGTAGGGTTGATGGGAGTTTCAGTCCATCAACAGCCAGAGAACCCTACTATGCTTAGGCTTTGAGAAAAAGGAATGATTCACGTAGAGAATACTTTGAAGTGAAGCACATTCTTGGAAATTGGTGGGCCTTAGAACTTCAGAGCATGGTATCAAGATGTGTATATAATGCATCTTTCAAATGCCACCCAATATTGTGCTACTTCATATTATTTCTATGCAACCAAACACATGTAAATTCAAAATGGGTGAACGAGCAAGCTGGCTGAGGAGAGATGCACAACTTCCCTTTGCTGTGCCCAGCATAGATACCTAAATAGGCTAATGGTGAGAAGCCCCTCTTCCACTGAACCGTGCATATGAATAGAGTGGGCTGCTGAGAAAGAGGTGTTGTCTTTTTTTGCCATCCCCTAGCAAGAGTGCAAAGTCTTTGCACTTTAACTTTTTGAGCCTTGCTTACAAATCTCTCCTAATTCTATTATTAAATTGCTGTTGACTGAATTCATAAACTTGCCTCCTTTCCGAACTATATGATGGTAACAATGGCTGTTGATATGATTTCCAGAGAATTGAATGTCTGAGCAGGAATCATGCTTGGTGCGGAAGAGGGCTGCCACCAAACTGCTTACATAACAGTTCCAGAAAGTTTTAAATGATGCCCTGCACAGGCGTAATAAACCCATTTTTTGTGTTTACAAATTAGCACTCAAAGAACAATGGTTCTAGATAAGCAGTCCATACTTATCATTGGTTGAGGATTTTTCACCTTCCACACTGATAGTCTTCCTTGTTCAAAAAAGGACCTCCAGCTATATCTTAACCACAGATTTGTGCTGGGCCATTACTGATGTGTTTCAATTGCTTTTAATTAAACTGGGTTTTAATGTTACCATTTTATTGTGCTTAATAGTCTAACTTCAGGTCCATTTTAAGTCACTTGTCTTATTGGGTCCCAGTTTTGGAAGAAAGCTAGGAGTTGTATTGTCTAAGGCTTTCATGGCCAGAATCACTAGGTTGTTGTGAGTTTTCTGGGCTGTATGGCCATATTCCAGAAGCATTCTCTCCTGACGTTTTGCCTGCATCTATGGCAGGCATCCTCAAAGGTTGTGTGGTCTGCTGGAAAGTAGGAAAATTGGGTTTATAGATCAGTGGAAAGTCCAGGGTGGGAGAAAAAAACTGTCTGTTTGAGGTAGGTGTGAATATTGCAATTGGCCACCTTGATTAGCATTTAATGGCATTTAATGGCCTAGCAGTATAAAGAACAAGACTCAGAAACAGGGGAATTCCAGACAAGAAACAATCAGGGCCAGCTAATCACCTCCCAACAAAGGATTCCCCAGGCAGTAAGAAGCCAGACCTTGAAACTGCTAGGCCATTAAATGCTAATCAAGATGGCCAATTGCAATATTCACACCTACCTCAAACAGACAAGACCTCTTTCTCCCACCCTGGACATTCCACAGATATATAAATACCATTTTCTTAATTTCCAACAGACGTCACAACCTCTGAGGATGCCTGCCATAGATGCAGGCAAAACATCAGGAGAGAATGCTTCTGGAACATGGCCATACAGTCTGGAAAGCTCACACCAACCCAAAGCTAGGAAATCAATAAAAAATATTAACCAATAACCATCTGTGCAATGAAACTGTAAGCCACCCGAAGCTAAATTGCTGGACTTTCTATGTAGCAACACTCCAGCTGGCTCCAATAGTTCTAAATTTCTGGTGAGCAAACTAAAACTGTAATTCAGTTGGTCTTTTGTATTTTAAATTGTGAGTCACTATTCTGGTTATTTTAAAAAACATTTTCACAATTGTTTGTAATTATTAGAAAATTTCAGGAGGACTTGATTTTGCTCTGAAGTCAGATTTAGTCATGTATTTACTGCTATATTTGTTATAATGCTTAATTTGAATAGGGATCTTTTTGATTTGTTCCCAGTTGCAGCAGCTGCCACCGTGCTCAATTGTGAATTGAACAATGTGAATCCTTTCCCTGTTCTAACGGAGAACCTGATTGGTACAGAGATAGACAACTGGGACCTCATTGTCTTAGGGGACATGTTTTACAGTGAAGAGCTTGCAGATAGCCTTCACCCATGGCTGAAGAAATATGCTCAGACTCCTGGGACTCAAGTATTAATCGGGGACCCTGGCAGACCTCATTTTGTGACCCACCGAATTCAGAAAGAGTTGCACAGAATCAGTGAATATGTCCTCCCTGAGGCAACGGCCCAAGAAAATAATGGCTCCACCAGCACTGTTGTCTGGCACTACCAACCTGGACTCTGAAGTGGATTACTTTTGTAATTGTAGTTAAGTGGCAAGAGTTGAACTACTTAGACTGGAAGCCCAGATTGTTTGGTGACATCACTTGCAATTCACTGTGCCTAAATGACTCATCCCAACTGATGATACAACTCAAGAAAATAGAACAAAAACATATATTAAATGTTTTTTACAATGCTCCCTGTTTGAACAATGGAAATAAATGTGTGTATCTATCAATATGTGCCTGACGTTTTATTCTTTAAGGATGTAAACAAGATGCTTGCCTAAAATATTTTTTGATTGGAAGGGACATCTCTTGATGGTGATTGGTCTTGATGAAGCTTCTAGACCAGGCATGGGCAAACTTTGGCCCTCCAGGTGTTTTGGACTCCAACTCCCACAAACCGGCTGTTAGGAATTGTGGGAGTTGAAGTCCAAAACACCTGGAGGGCCAAAGTTTGCCCATGCCTGGTCTAGACACTCCTTGAATGCCACTGGCTGGAGAGCAGTGAGGGGACATCTTCATATTTGACCAATTGCCTTAGTAGAAGCACTTGATTGGTCATAATGGTGTTGAGACCCACTAAGCATAATAATACATATAACAGTACCTACATGATTAAATCAGATTTCAAAGCAAAGTTAAGTCCTCCTGAAATTTTCTAAAATCACAAACAATTTTTAAAAGGTTAATAAAATAACCAGAGTAGGTAAGGCAAAGGTTTTTCCCTGACATTAAATCTAGTCGTGTCCAACTATGGGGTGTGGTGCTCATCTCCATTTCCAAGCTGAAGAGCCGGCGTTATCCGTAGACACCTCCAAGGTAATGTGGCCAGCATGACTACATTTGTTCTCTTCTGGTGCCCCCTTATCAGCAGTTGACAAGAGTAATTTCCCCCTCCTTCTGTCTTTGCAGATCATCAAGTCCCACCCTTTGAACCTTCTCCTCTTTTATCCTGCTGTTCTGAGTATCTGCCTCTCAGGCCTCCTTCTCTGCCTAAACCAGTGGTTCTCAACCTTCCTAATGCTGCGACACCTTAACACAGTTCTTCATGTTGCATTGACCCCCAAACATAAAATTATTTTCGTTGCTACTTTATAACTGTAATTTTGCTACTACTATGAATCATAATGTTAATATCTGATATGCAGAATGTATTTACATTCACTGGACGAAATTTGACACAAATACCCGATATGCCCACATTTGAATACTGGTGAGGTCGGGGGGATTGATTTTGTCATTTGGGAGTTATAGTTGCTGGGATTTATAGTTAACCTACAATCAAAGAGCATTCTGAATTCCACCAATGATGGAATTGAACCAAACGTGGCACACACAACTCCCATGACCAACAGAAAATAATGGGAGGGTTTGGTGGGCATTGACCTTGAGTTTAAGAGCTGTAGTTCACCTACATCCAGAGAACACTGTGGGCTCTCACAATGATGGATCTAGACCAAACTTGGCACGAATACTCAATATGTGAACACTGGTAGAGTTTGGAGAAAACAGACTTGACATTTGAGAGTTGTAGTTGCTGAGATTTATAGTTTACCTACAATCAAAGAACATTCTGAACCCCACCAACAATAGAATTGGGCCAAAATTCCCACACAGAATCCCCATGACCAACAGAAAATACTGTGTTTCCTGATGGTCTTTGGTGACCCCTCTGACACCTCCTCACGACCCCACCCCCCAGGGGTCCTGACCCCCAGGTTGAGGAATGCTGGTCTAAACCTTTTGCTGGTTTGGTAATTTTCCATTTTTTTCATGTGACATTAGTTCTGTACAACGTTTGTAGCAAGATGTATATATTCTAAAATGGAACCTCTTTTGTCTGGCACAGAGAAACAACCGTTAGCTGAAAAGATCCCTGAGCAAATTTTGTAAGCAGCACCCATGCTGAACACCATTATTTACTATCACCAAGTTTGCTAGATTCTGCAAAACTAGTGGGCCACAACTGAATACCATCTCCAAGACAAAATTCTTTTTGTCTTGGAGATCTGGCCTTGCAGTTCGTAAACAAGGGAATGGCACCTTTGGGCACAGGTTAATTGGTTTAACACTGCTATCTTTGTAGACAGGAAAAAGTCACAATCTCTCTCCAGTGAATCTTAATCAGTAAAATGGGGCAATGTCTTATCTTTGAAAGACACAACTTTAAGGAAGTCTGAAGGATTTTTCAGTCGTGATGCTTTAACAAAGACACCAAATTCTAAGATAATTGCTTTAGGGATAAGATCTACTTGACACATCAACTGACAACTCTTGAACTGCCTCCTGAAATCTGTAGCCCAGATTTTGTTGACACCAAGGATGTAAGATTTTAAGGTAAGAATTTTACTAGCTCATTCTGGAAATTCCAGCTCCTCTTCATCTTTGCACTACTCCAGCCAGAAGCGCCAGTGCTCCCTAGCTTCTCACAAGGAAGGTCCAAGGGGACCAAAGACAGGTAAACGTTGACCTTTCTAAAATCAATGGTTAGCAACTCTCATGCATAAATATATCGGAAAGCATGAGTGGGTGTTTGTTTCTAGTCTTTTGATTGAGAGTTATGCACAGTAGTCCGAGGCATCACAATGTTAGCAATCAATGGTTAGCAGCATTGTCTTATCCCTGGTAAGGTACAGGGGCGCATCTTGAAGGCCTGACTACATGGCTACTTCAGGTTGACCACAAGGTATGCAGTAGTTGATGACAGGGTACAGGGAACTTGCTACATGATTGCTACATGATTGCTAAATGGTTGCCTGAGGGTATATAAGCTTCTTAGCTGCGCCGTTAGGGCGCGGCAGCTTGGAATCGGCATTACTATATGTATGCTGTCTGTCCGCCTTTCTCACTGATCAGTAGAAATAAACTTGTGTTTTGATCTAACTGTTTGGACTCCTGTGGTGGTCTCAAATAGCGTCCTGGCAAGTTCCCGGAGTGAGGGACGGCGTTCCCTAGGCTCATTTCCCCTTTCGGCTTCACATTGTGATGCCTCGGACAACTGTGCATAACTCTCAACCAAAAGACTAGAAACAAACACCCACTCATGCTTACCTATATTTTTGCATGAGAGTTTAAACTCAAGGTTTCAGCCCTTTTTGATAAAGTTGATACTGAATTTGCACTCGTGTTTAAAACTGTTACAACAGAAAACAAAACACATTTATCATATTTGCGCCTACTATGTTCTTCACTGGATTAAAATGGGTATCCTGGCCAGTGGGTGTCAGGAAAGAGCTACAAATTATCCAATTCACCTGGAAACCACAACAAAAACCATGAACACACTTGGCTACAAATGAAATAAAAGAAACTTGAAGGTTGGTGCTTTTATTTCAATATCAGAACTAACACAAGTACAATGTGGCTACAATTATAACCAATATCTTGACACATAAATGGTCTTCATAAGTAATGGTTGAGAAGGTAGCCCATGAAACATTTCTTCAGGACTTGTTCCCACGCCTTGCTGGCTCACTACATCCTAAATTTTGGCACCTTATCAGTACAGAATGCTGTATTTGGACCGTAATGGTTTGCAGATATTTCTTTGAGCCCTCAAATGCTATCTTTGTACAAAGGCTAAAACAAAGGTCTTCCTTATTTTGAATATCAACACATTATTGATACAACTACAGATGGGCAAGAAGGAACACATATGGCAACTTAGGCTGTCAACAGGAATAAATACAATCTATATCATCTTATGAGATGTTTCCCCAGCAATGGTTCTTTCCTGAAAAAGAACTACTGTTTACAACTTTACAGAAACGAAAACCAATAAACAAAAAAAAGTATCAGTAAACAGTCCACGAAATCTGCTTAAATTTCTTTGGTCCAACCAGCTGTTCCAGGGCTATTCTTGAATGATCTGTGAAAAAGAAATGCAGAGGGATTACAAACAAATTTGATAATTCTATGCCATTTCTAAGTTTCACAGAAATGGCAGTGGCTGCCAAAGATGACTGGTCCCTAGGCAGCATTACTGCTTTCTTGCTCTGCAGAATAACCCTCAACGTATCCATGGGTCAAATCAAAATCCATAACTGTAGCCCCAAAACCTGCCATTGACTTATATATGAAATCAATTTATAAAGGTAAAGGTGAAGGTTTCCTCTGACATGAAGTCTAGCCGTGTCCAACTCTGGGGTGTGGTGTTCATCCCAATTTCTAAGCCAAAGAACCAGCATTGTCTGCAGACACCTCCAAGGTCATGTGGCAGCATGCCTGCATGGAGTGCTGTTACCTTCCCGCAGAAGCGGAACCTACTGATCTACTCACATTTGCATGTTTTTGAACTGCTAGGTTGGCAGGAGCTGGGCTACCAGTGGGAGCTCACCCCACTCCCTGGATTCGAAGGGACCTTTCAGTCAACCTTTCAGTCAACAAGTTCAGCAGCTCAGCAGTTTAACCTGCTACACCACCAGGGGGTTAAACTATGTAATTTGACCTATACATGTTGATTTATAAATCGACTTATCAAAGTGTATAAATTGAGTGGGTTGTTGTAGGTTTTTTCGGGCCATATGGCCATGTTCTAGAGGCATTTTCTCCTGACGTTTCGCCTGCATCTATGGCAAGCATCCTCAGAAGTTGTGAGGTCTATTGGAACTAGGAAACTGGGTTTATATATCTGTGGAATAACAAGGGTGGGGCAAAGAACTCTTGTCTGTTGGAACTATGTGTGAATGTTTCAACTGACCACATTGATTAGCATTTTATGGCCTGGCAGTGCCTGGGGCAATCTTTTTTTGAGAGGTGATTAGATGTGCCTGATGGTTTCCCCTCTGTTGTTTTCCTGTTGTAATTTTAGAGTTTTTTTTTAATACTGGTAGCCAGATTTTGTTCATTTTCATGGTTTTCTCCTTTCTGTTGAAATTGTCCACATGCTTGTGGATTTCAATGGCTTCTCTGTGTACTCTGACTTATTAATTGTGTAAATTGACTTATACATGTTTAAATATGGAAATTTGAATCAGTCAGTAGCCCACATCAGGTGCCATACTGTCCCTGAACAGAGACAAACTTGAAATATTTAATCCACGGGGCTTTTTGGCAGTTTCATCTTATGCTTTCTTCTGCAGAAGTCATAAGATAGTCAATATTCCAAGTTTTAGTGAGACAGAGAAGGAAACATCTGGTATTTGATAAAGGTGGGAAAGAGAGAGAG